TTCAAGTTGACAGCATGCCAAATCTGGGTACAATACTATAGGTTAATATTTTTGAGGATTTTTTTATATTTATTATTTGAAAATTTGCTTACAACCGGTATTCAAATTTGTTCTCCCAAGCAGCTGAGCTGTTTTAGCTGAACACCCCACTGCCCAAAAACTCACTACTACAGCTCTTGATTAAAAACAAACGGCCAAACCCCCAAACAAATGTCTTTTAGTTTCTCAGAATTATGTACAATTAAAAACAACATCTTATAATCAATAGTATGTTGTGAGCAGTTTCAGGGAACATTGTGAGCTTCATTGATGATAAAAATCTATTAAGAAATTCTGATCTCTAGGACTATATGTGTGTGTATATATATCTATATATAGATATATATATACACAACCACACACACGCACACACACACGTGTGTGTATTCTTGAGAACACATGCTTCCACTTCACAGTAAATGTGTAATGGCTCACCCTTCTTCCACCAAGAGACGAGGAGTCTCAGTTACTATGGGACAGAGTCATGTGCATGTAAGCAATTACTGTGGATTGTCTGATGTAACATAAATTCACTGCCTTTGGGCTTGAAAGTGACATACCCTGACTTCCTACCTTGTATGCCATTTGCTTGTTTAAAACAAAATAAAACAAAATAAAACCCAAGCAATGAACAGAACCTTTGTCTGATGAGTCTCATACTTGCTGCTGTGGTTGTAAGGTCCCCTTTGTGCTAGAGTAAGCTCTCGCCTGGATATTTTGCACTACAGGGGAGGGCTTGGACTGAAAAAATAGCTGTTATAGGTGATTATTTCTAATGATAGTTGCAATACTAAACTTTTACTGGTACTTTGGGACCCAAATGGAGCCTGTCCCTTAAACATAATGGTTTTAGTTTAAAAAGTATATCTAGTATTGTAAACTTCCTGTTGTAGATTTAATTGTCAATGATGTTTCTCCTAGGGGATAGCACTTTAAAAACAGCTGATACATTGCAATTGGCCTTTAAGTATTTTAATTCAGTAACAGTCATCAGAGGGTTGCAAATAACCCCATGGTAGTGTTCTTGTATTTTCTGGACTGCTATAAAATTACTGAGGAGTTTAGCTTGTATGTCATATTGTAAAATAAAACTATGAGGTTTCTTCATCTAAGCAACTTATTTTTAACTCTGAAACTTGAGTCTATTTTCGTTTTTGTTTATGTAAAAGGGAGAGTAGAATATTGCATTCATCTTAGTAGGATTATGCTGTGCAAAGCAGATGTTAAGCTCCTGTAATACACAAAGGGGGCTTTATGTTCTTTCACATCTGTCTCTGCATAAACAGCTCTGTTAACTCTTTAGGGCTCATGTACAGAGCTCCTTGCTCCTATTAAGAGACTTGCCTCAGGAAGGACTGATGGGGTTCCCATTTTGGGGAAAAAAACCCTCGAGAACCCAACTGAAAACAAATACTGCCCTCTTTGACTGTGTGAGCTGCCAAAGGAAGGAACATCCCTGCCTGTTGAGGTCCAAAGAGAAAGCTTGGGAAGGTCATAATGTTTTACTGCCTTGCAGGTTATACAAATAGTGCAATAGTAAGTCAAAAGTGTTTTCTTAAAGCCCATGTTGTAAAGCTGCTTGGCATTTCATCTCACAGGCAGTTCTTGAGAGGTTCTTTGCACTAGAGAGGGGTTTGAACTCTTGCATCTCTGTGCCAGAATCCATTAATGAAACTTCTTCATACCAAATTGATACACATATTTTCTTTTTTGTAGAAACTGAGAAGTATCACTTTGTCAGCAGAAACAGTGCAGTATGCTCTACTGTACTTTTCCTAGCCTTAGCTTAAATTTAAAAGCTGTTTTCAACCTTTTAGTCTCTAATGAAGCTTTGTCCCTTTTTGATCCTGATTTATCTTGGCAGTAGAATGTGAATGCTTAAAAATATCTTTCTTTAAGTGTATGTGAATTACCAGTTCCTGTGGGCTGTGTTAAGTCACCTTTTTATGAATTGCATCTTAAATCTGGTAACTAAACTATCTCTGTTGTGGATTTGGTGCAGTGTTGTGTAATGGCTTTACTAGGGTGGGAAGGGTAGAAAAGGAATATGATGATGCTGAGGGCTGGCCTTGGACACTTGGAGAATCTCAGCACAGCATGACATGTCACCATCTGCAAAACTTTGTCCTGAATGAGCAGTACAGGCTTGCAAGGTGATATCTGACCATGCTAATATCTGTAGAAGAGGTTTACTACTGATTTCAGTAGGAATAGGCTTCCATCCTTTCTGGGTTCCAGGAAATTAGTGCTTAGCTCCATAAAAATTTGCACCAGTTGAATTAAATCCACTTAGTTTCACTACAGTGAGTGTTTGTAGTGACACTGGCATTTTTTTGTCTGGTGCATGTCAGCTGCCCATGGCTGATTTAAGTGTGAATAAAAAACCTCACCCTTGTACTGGAATACATATCCTAATGAATTTAAATTCACACTTAGCACTTCATATGCAGATGAATGACAAGCTTCCTCTGATGAGAAAGAATAGTTTAGCTTCCTTCTCTGTCATTTAACATTGTGCAGCCCACCAGTGCAGAAGAATTGATGAGTACATTCTAGCAGAAATGTTGCCCCAGGCTTTCCCACGTTGCCTTGTCCTGGTCTGCTGGCCTCTCCTGCAGGACCTCTGGACCCCAAAGTGGTGGGGTGTCCACTCTACTTTCTTGAAGGGCCTGCACTGAAAGGGAGCCTAGCTTTGCTGCAGGCAGCTCCTGCTCATCTGAGAAGGAGCTCAGAGCTATCAGGCAGCATTACTTGTCAGCTAGATTGGATGTGCTGTTGGTTTAATTTATGATTTATCTAGGAATAATCTACTTGTATTGTAGTTTGGTTCTGTACCTGAGAGCTGAGACTGCCTGGGGCTTGGTGGGAAGATGGTTCATCTTCAGTCGGTGATGTATTGCTGCCTAATGGGGTGTGATAGTATACCAGTATGAAGCTGAAGGACAATTTGCTGTCAGGACGGTGTTGCATTTAAGCCTCCTTTTGCTATCAAAACAACCCTATAAATTATTTCAGATCTTAAAGTCAGTAGAAATGTTTCTAGAGATTTTTAGTTATGTTGAAAATAGTTCTTAGTCTGAATTTAAATGTTTCCCTGAAACTTTGGAGACCAGGAGTTATTGGAGAATAACCCTAATCTGCAAAACCAAGAAGGTAAAATGAACTACTGTAGTCTTGCTACTTAAAATGAACAACATGTAAATACTCAAAGGTAATGCAAGAAATCTGGATCTGAAAACTATCCCTCTTATGAATCATGGAGGGGTTTAGGTTTTTTTAATGTCAAATATGAATCATCTTTAATTGCTGAGAAATCTGTGGCAGCAAATAACCTGGCATTTGGCTACATAACCTAGTATCAGCATTCTTGTACACTGCAAAATCTCTGGTGTCCTCATAGACTTGTTTCTGTGTGGTATGCAATGAAATTCCACTTGTCTGAATCATTTGAGTAAGATTTTTCAGAGAAGTTTTATCCTTCTCAGTTTTAAGTCCACTTATAGTGACCAAATGTTTAAACAGAGGCAAGCTGGATGAATGTGCTCTTTGATAAAAGATAACAAAGCTGGTAACTGAGCAGCTCTGCTGCTCTTTGGGCAAGCGTGGTTGGTTTAACTTGGTACATGTTTATGAATCCCCAAGCTAACTGTACTTATTATACTTGAGTCATGCTAAACAAATAGAACTTTGCATCTCAGGAGCCCAGCATGTGTTTCAAGAGGCTGGCATGCATTTTCTTTACATGATCGCAGGAGTGGCTTGCTTAACCTTTTAATTGGCAGGAAGAAAACTCACTTCACAGCCTGAGCCACAATCATCTCTGAATAATGTAAACAGTGATGACCTGAACTTGATCTTTTAGACAATGGACTCGCTTTTCTTGGTAGTTGCATTATACAGACAAGCTAATGCTTTGGGGTCAGTGAAGGGCTTTTGTACATCGAAGGACAATAAAGCTAGAAAGTGTTTCCTGCTGTTTGGCTAATTAATGCAGGGTACCACTCCGTAGGAGTCGGCAGTGGTTTTGCTGCCTGTCACTGCTATTGTACTGCCCGCAGAAGGAGACAGAGCAAGGCATGTGGTAAGGGAATGAATTCTCTGTCTTGCTCCACCTATTATTGCAGGACAGAAAAAAACTTAGGGAAGCTGGCTATTGATTTCATTCAGTGAGAAGGGAAAAGATGTGGTACTGGAAAGGTCAAAGCATGTTTCTCAGAGTTGAAAAATAAATAACAAAAATAAATCAATAATACCCTGTGTGCGATGTGATGCTGCCAGACCAGAATTATCTGTGTATGGCCTTAAATTGCCCTCCCTCCTGACACTGGAGCGCAAACCTGAAAAGATTGATGGCTTTTCCCTATTAGACTTTTCCTATAAATCATGTTTTATGATGTACTGTAGAATAAAGAATTTTATTTGAGACTTTAAAAGCGCATACAACTTTGTCACATCTCGTGTTTTCTGATGAAAATCTACTGCAAAACAGTGAGTTCCTTTTCAGTAGTTAACGTAGCAAAATATACAAAGGCATTTAGAGTCTGCTCTGATCTTGTATTCTGGTCAGGTACAGGAAAATTGTAAAGAGAAAATTTAAAGTGTCATAGTGAACAGCATGTATTGCATACTTGAGCAGTAAGGGAGCTAAATCATCTTAATTCTTGCTGGACTGTAGCTCAGTATGTGCTGCCTGTGGCTGCCTGCTTTCTCAGCAAGTGTTTAAGTGGATTATTGACTAAGTGTAAGGCTGTTTGCAGCATCTTAAGTTTGACAGACATGTGATTGTGCAGGGGGGAGGTTAGGGGAAAAGGTAGTTGCTTTCAGACAAAAGCTTCTCGTAGATGAATGTCTTCCAAACAATATCTTGTAGTCTTGTTCCAGATTAAAAATAAATAAAACAGTATATGGGTTTTATGCTCAGATAATAACTCTTCTGTTGTGTTTTTGTTTTTTTTTTCCAGAACTGCTTAATAAAACATGATGAGAATGGATACTCAGCAATAGTGGGAGACTTTGGTTTAGCAGAGAAAATTCCTGATCACAGGTATGTGACCTAATCAAAATACAGCAGGACTTGCAGTGCAGTTACAGGTCAGAAGCGCTAATGAGCTGGATTCCTGAGGCCTTTATTGCATTCTGATACAAAATCTGCAAAAAACATCCTCAGTCTTCGGTCTAGAACTGCAAGCTGGTTGACCCAAATGTTCCAGCCTCAGTTACTGTCCATTTTGATAGATTTATTGGTGGCATTTATTCTTCAAAAATGCTCCAGTAAGTAGACAATTTCTGAAGCTTTTCAGTAGATCTTCTAAGCACGTACTTAGGAATTTTGGTTTTAAAAAAACCCCAAACAATAAAACAAACACAAAAATGCTGTCTAGCACTCTGGATTAGGATGATTTTATAATAAATGTCTTCTCTTGATTCCAAACAACTTTAATTAGCTTCTTTCCATTTTCAGAAACAATATTCAGTGGCATTCTAGTATTATTGTCTTTAACCTATGGGTTAATTGTTAAGATCCAGGTTTATAACAAAGAGGAATTAAAATTACTGTCTAACAGTAGCTTGCCATTTTGCTGTCCCTAGGGTGAAACTGTAATCTTAACTCATTTGAGGAATTCACAGGTGACTGTCACAAGCTATTGTCACAATTGGAAATAGGCCTTTTGTCATCCCTCTGTCAAGAGTCGAGGACAAGGATTTCATTGTTCTCTCTGTATATTGACTTGTGTATTTCAGAGTATTCTGACTATGAAATGTGCTGCCAGATTTTCTCCAGTGTATGCTTCTGCGTAAAATACATAAAAGCCTTCCAGCTCTTTTGACTGCAGAGAAAACAATAAATTAAGTTGATCTCAGCCATGCACTATTTTTAAACTGCACATATCCTAAAACCATATCTTGGGAAGTCTGAAAGCTCACATTAATGTTGATGAAGGACTGATCTAAAAGCTTAATAAAGTGAACATTTTAATTTCCAAACTACTGATAGGTACAGCCAATGTGTATTTTGTATGCTTCTGTGGAATTTCAACCCTTTAAGGTGCTGAAAGTTTCAGCTGTATTCGTATAAACCCATCACAAAATCAGGAAGTCACTACAGGTGCCTTAAGATGTTCTTAATACCCAGTTTTGAGATGCTCTGGAAAATAAGAGTATAATATCTAAAGTTAAGGTAGCTTGATACTAAAACAACTTAATAAAATCGTTATGTTAGTCACCATTCTGGTTTGATCTAATCTTATTTCCATTTTCAAATGCAGTTTTGTTGTTTCCAGATTGTTGGCTGGCGAGCTGTGCTGTTTGAGGCTGCTGGAGGCCTTTTTTTTAAGAGGTTTTCCTTCAAGGTCAGCTGCGTGTCAAGCTGGAGGCCTTTCTTAAGGCCCCAGCCATACAGAAACATTGCAGATTTTTCAGATCAGCTCTATTCTGATTACTTTTAATTTTTCCCTATTAAAGGACTCATCTGGTCAATCTTGACTTTTTTTAAAAAAATCCAAAACCAGAGAGTTTGCACGCAGGCTGTGCTGAACGCTTCAGAGCTGCTTATCGGTACACAACCAGGGATGGATACCTGCATGTCTTGCCACGTGAATGGAGAACTTGACATCTAGCCCAGAACTGGTGTCCACAAACATTTTCATGTATAGGTGGAAGAGCCCACTCTGCCAAGAGTCTGGAAACCAAAACTATTGAACACCTGTGACCTTAAAATAATACCTTTTTTATTTTTTTTTAGAAGTGGCCAGGCACTTAGAAACTGGAAATAAAATACACATAATTGATTTAAGCTTTATTTTTCTTTCACCTTCTCCTGCTGATATTGAAAGTTCCAGTGACTCCAGTTGGAAACAAGTGTAAAATACAATATGGTATGGAACCCACTTGTATCGACTTCCCTCTGGCAGGTACCTGGCATTATGGAAAGTTAATAGCAATACCTGAGCATTTAATTAATGGCTCTTCTCTCTCTCCACCCCCCCTGCCCCTTTCCCCCCATCTATCCCATATAGTGAGAAGTTACCAGTGGTGGGTTCACCCTTTTGGATGGCACCAGAAGTTCTCAGAGATGAACCTTACAATGAAAAGGTGGGTACATTGTATAAATGGACTTGAGTTGTCAGATGTTTCTCTTCAATATCTTCAAATACAAGATTTAGAATTTCCATAATATTAAAATTATTTTCATTTCTAACATTTCTGTACTCAGCAAGTCATTCAGACTAAGGGAAAGCGTGAGTTGAATAGCTAATATTTTTAATTCATGGTGTGGATGCTTATATGGAAATAGAGTAACCTTTAGCATAACTCACAGTCATGCTGTTTCCATTCTGTAACACCACCCCATGTGCAGAAATAGGTAATGGCTTGTTGGCCTAACATAACTTAACCTTAAGTCTCATGAGAAATGTAGTGAGGAAGCTTCCCTGATCATATGTTAGTAAAATCTGAGTAGAAGTAAAAGGTCAGTATGTAAACTTGTACAATTCTTTTGATGAAAAAAAACCTAACATCATCATTTCTCAAGGTAAGATACCTGGATAAAAAGGTTTTCCAAAGGTATTTTTAAATTTTCCTATTTGTGACACTGGGAAATGTTTCTTTCAGAAGAGGATCAGATCACACTGGATTTTAGAAATAGTATTTTCAATCAAGCTCTTTTTTACACAGGATTTTCTTTCCCATATGTAACATAGTCTACTTCAGCCCTGCAAGTGCAGCTTTTCTCTGATAAAGCCCACATCCTGTACCTTTTTATAGCTAGTAGTCAATAATCTGTTTAATTGGTGGTACTTTTAACTTGCAGGAAAGCAGTAGTTACCTCAGTAATGAATATAATAATTACCATTTCAAAGCTTTTTTTTTTTTAAGAGTTCTAATTGACCCAAATTAATAATAAAGTACCCAAATCTATGGTGCCACATTCTTCACTAACCCTAGGGCACGGAGGGCTAAAGAGGAAGCAGGTCTCATACCTCATCAGCATGAAAGGTGACATATAAGCCTGCCTGATATCTAAGGATTGAGGGATGCTGCCTTCTGCTCTGCAGACTTGTGTCCCATGTCTTCCTAAATTTTATTACATGATAAATTCAGGTGTGTGGAAATCTGAGGAACTGTGCAGCTCCAGGGGTAGTCAGATAAGTGATTAGTAAGCGTCATGGAAATTTCAATGGAAATTTCAATGGAAATTGATGCTGGTATACAGTGTTACTAGATATCTCAAGCTTTGGAAAAGACACTCTTTGCTCCAGAGGTACTGAACTGTAAGAAGATAAAAATGTAATTTTTCTGAAAAACAGCATTGATGTTCTGGATAAGCTGTGATCATGTGTATTCTAAACCCGTCTTTCTAACCACAGTGATATATAGGCATGTCATGTTTTGGCTATGTTTTTAATCACTCCCATCTGTAAGACATCATTCTTTATGCAAGGCAGGATTTTTTTATTATTATTATTTTTACACTGCTGAATTAAGAGTGGCTTGGTGGGTGTTTTCCTTTTTTTTCTTGAAGAGTTTTAAAGTTATCATTGCTATTTGTGCAACAAGAATGCTTTACTGTGAGCATACTGTTTCTTCACGTGGAAAATGTTAGCTATAATGAGTTGCTTAGTGGTGTGAGGTTGTGGTGTTGGTTTAGTTGTTTCACGATGACCATTTCGGGTAAGGAGAAGCTCAGTGGCAGACAGGAACACTGAGTATTCATAGCTGAACCATGTGGCTCTCTATTTTTTTTCTCTCTCAGGCGGATGTGTTCTCCTATGGTATAATTCTATGTGAGGTTATAGCAAGAATACAGGCAGATCCAGACTATCTCCCTCGCACAGAGGTAAGTGGTTATGTTTATAACATTGGTGGGAGGTGGTAAGTATGCCATGATAATGGCTGGCCTTTAGAACTTCTGGCACTGCTGCCAAAGATACGATGAATAGGTGTTACATTAAAAATAGCCTGTAAAAGGCTTTTGTTCCTCTGTGCTGTTACTGTAAGAAGCTCCGCTGAAGACACTTTCACACAGACTTTGTCCAGCTGCAGTCTTCATGGGAAATCCTTTCTGCCCCTGACTGGCAGAACATTGAGAGCATTGCAATGACCTTCCTTTTGTAGAATGGTAGCTAATGGAGACATCTTGCCAGATTCAGAACAGAGCATTTTCAGCACGCTGCATCGGCTAAGCAGCCCCTCCTTGTGAAAGAGGCAGCAGCTATGTAGGCAGCAGCTAAAAGAAATTAACCTTTATCTTTGCATGGGCTGTGCTAAGCATTGTGGATCTGAGCTAGAATTGACTCATCAACTTTCTTCTTACTTTCTTCAGTTGCCTTTTGGTTGAGTCCCATCTGCAGGGCAGCTTTTGGCCCTCCATGGGGGTTGTTCTAAATTGTCTATCCCCTTCCAATTCTGAAAATGCAAAATTGCTTAGGTCTTGAACCGTGGCAAAAAAGAGATCCTGTTGTTTCTCTGCCCTTCAGATTTTATAGAAGTGCATTTAAGGAACTGGATAATTTGTATTACCAGTCTACTATCCACTGAAAAATTAACCATTTGGTAAATTTTCATCATAGTGAAGCTGCTGGCTTTATAGCAGACTGTTAATTTACAGTGTGAAAGTCACCATGGTGAAACACCGTAGTATAGGATATTGCTTCCAGATCCACACGGGCAACATTTCAAGTACAGTGGATTACAGTTGAGTCCAGGAAGAAGGATGGGCTTTGAAGTCAGCTCATTCTCTTACAGGTATCTTGTATCAAGTAATCCCCATCGGGAATGCTGCGGTTCGGAGTGTGCATGGAGTTTCCTCAAAATCCTCTGTATGTGGCTGATGAAAGATGTTTGTGGTTATTCCTGATAACTCCACGTAGGGACCCCCTGAAAAGAAGATGCTTTGGGCCAGATAGCAGACCTCATTTCTATCTCTGTGCTATGTTTTTGTTTGTACAGAATTTTGGATTAGATTATGATGCCTTCCAGCACATGGTGGGAGACTGTCCGCCTGACTTCCTCCAGCTGGCCTTCAACTGCTGTAATGTGAGTATCTTACTTGAAGGGGAGAGGCCTAAACTGGAGTTCTCTAAATCCCTCTGGCTTTTTGAAGATACAGTTTAAAGCATTTACAGAAGAGACTTGAAGAGCTTACCTATGAAAGGAGCATGTATTCTGATAACCCAGAAAGTCCCTTGCAGTCTTTATAACCCTTCCCTTCCCCTTGCAAAAAGGTCTCTTGTGTTTTTGCACTTCAGTGTTCTATTATGCTAAACAAGCTTCTTGCAGGCTGCTCAGGCTGATCATAACCAGTTGTATGTTATTGACACTGGCTGGCCCTCGGGCTGACAAAATCCAGCTGTTACTGTGTACAGACCTACTGAGCTGTGAAGAAAGAATTCCAAGTTTTTCTCACAAACAGAGGGGACAAACAAATCAAGAGCAGGCACTAAACTACTCTGAAGTTCCTATATGCTGCTTTTTGGAAAGCAGGATAAACCTCCAAGTCCCTATCCTGTGTTCCAAAAAACCAAACTTGGACCCAAATGATTTAATATTAGTAAGGCTATAGGCAAAGCGCTGTATGAAGTGAATTTTCTGGCAGTTATTCAAGTAAAATTGTGATTGATGGCACTAGGTAGCTTCATGGCTCCTCAGTGTGAAAATTCCAATGAAGTAGATCTCTTTTGTGGGTTGTCCCATAACTGAAGTAAGAGAACCTGAGCTTCCACCAAATTCAGCTGAAATTAGGAATGTCCAGTTTGCGCAACAAGTTGAGGCAACTTCTAAAAATTTTATTGCACAAAAAGTTGCTGCGGACTCCACAACCAGGCCATTCTGGAGCAACTATGAGCACTGTGTCCAAGTGAGTGTTTGTAAGAAAAGTCTCAGGACAGGCTTTTTATTCCTGTCTGTTAGTGATTTTTCAGGCTTTGTTTTCATGTCAACACTGCTGCTGAAAGAAACAGTCTCATCTCGCCATGCTCTTGATGCCTATTTTTGCCCCAAGCTCTCTCTTTCCTCTCTAGTAGTACAAATGCACGTGCTGGCTCAAGGCGAGGGCGGTATAAAGGTGAGGATGTGAGCGGGTTGGGGTGACTGCTGCTCTTAACAAAAGATAGAAGAAATTAATTCTAAAAATGTTTGTGGGGCTTACTCTGGACAAGCTACTTCACTCCTCTGGTTGCATCTTAGTACAGTGGAGCTTGCTTCACCGGGACAGTGGTACACCTGACTCATGTTTATGAAGTGTTTTGACTACGTAAGCGCTAAAGGGTTAGGCTGGAGGTAAGATTTGACTTGGGAAATCTTGGCTTCCACCCGTAGACTCCAGCAATCTTACTGCATCCAAACACACTGTGCATGATTCAAAGCAGTTTTTCAGCATAGGTGAAACTCGGAGTAAAACTGCTCATGAAGAAAGGGGAAGTAGTCACTTATATTCTCATGTAAGAATTTGGTGTATTCAGAGAAAAATGATTTTTTCCTACTTCTTATTGTGAAATACTACTTCCTGTATAATAAATGTCCCTTCTCTGAATTGAAAGTGGAAATTACTGTCTTGTGATCAAGACATTAAAATGCTGATTTCATTGTGGGGCATGCTGTAATTCACTTTCCCAGTAGAAGGAAAAAGATGTTGAACAGAAAAAGCTTTCTTATATCTTCCTAAGCATGTTGTGCTTCAGTAGCAGGTGATCTGTGTGATAATTTGCTGTTAGACATGGACACTTATACAGCTTTTTATTATTTAATAGGTCAACAAACACTGTAAACTGTATAGCTGAGCTGATTAGCTGAACTAATGTGCAAAGCCCTGGGATTTTCTACAGCCAGGAAACATATTTTAGGGCAACCTAAGAAAACCACTAAAAGCTGACATGTATGAGTAGTGGAATAAAATTTCTTTAATATGCTGTTATAAAGTATTGTTTTTTTAAATAAGTACATGCAAGGAAGTCTAAAACTTATGGCTCCCTAACAGCTATGAGCTTACCTGTGCAAATGCTTATAAAGGTAACCATGTATGATCATGCAAAAAGCTTACCAGCACAAGCTGAGCTGTGGGCAGCTGCTGCCTTGAGGAAGAACCTTTTATTCCATCTGAGCAGAATCTGGACTGCTCAGGAATGGAAAAGGCAAATATTGCTCTGAATCACTTTTCCATTGCTGCTCTTGCCCTGGATCTTACCTAGCACAAATTAAAATAGAGAGTTTTTCTTACTTTCTGTAGCTTGCAACAGCTCTCTGAGCTTCCCAAATTAGTAAATTTCTCAGAGTACCGAGTGTGTGCTTTCGTGTTGCCTCTGCTCCACTCTTTCAGTGAAATAGGGGAAGCAGAGAAAGATGTTTTCCTATGCCAGGAAATTCCAGCTGCTACATTAGAACAACTTTCTTGCTGCTCTTAAGCTCTTCAAGTGTGATCTGTTTGTTTGTTTTACTGTATATATGAATTTTTAGCCCTTTACCCTGTGTTACTAGAAGGTGTTCTGGCATTGCTGAGCATAACCAGTTTTCTTCAGTAAGATCCATCTTGTTGTAAGACCTGCAAGGCATATCAGGGAGGTCTTTGGGGGTTTTTTATTTACAAAGCACCACTGTTCCCTTTGTACTAGGGGTGAGATCTGTCTGGGCTTGTCTGCTCTGAAAAAGCCTTTAGAGGGCTGGAAACAGGAATCAGGTCAAGCGGAATCTTTTTTAATACTGTAATGAGGTTAACTTTCAGCTGCTGAATTAGACATTGCTACCTATAGTAGTTAAACCTGTAACATATATACAGGGTCAGTGTTCAAAATGATGAAATGCCTTCCCAGTTACTACATAAATCAAGCTGCCTGCCTTTTAGTACAATTTCAGTGTTGGGCTTTGTTTAGCAATCCATTTCTACTAGGGTGAATAAATAATAAATACGTACTGATAAATACAAACTGAATATATATTGATGACTTGGGGCGGGGGGGGCGATATTTTACTTTGTCAAAGATGGATTTTTTTCTGTTGTATCACTTTATGAAATTATGTAACCAATCTTGCTTCCTCACAAGACAGACCAGTACACCGAGTAGTAAGGTTAATTAACAGATGAAAAGATACAACATTATAAACTTCAAAATCAGCAATGCTGTTTAAGTGGGTTTTAATTAAAGCCACAGGGAGATGATGGAAGAATTACAAACTTTTAAAGCATGGCATAGCCTAATTGCTCTGTTTAATCCTTATTGCTTCGGGCACGTTTTGGAATAACTTTGATACATAATCTCTGATTGATAACTGGAGTCCAGAAAAAAAATCCTTGAACTATGAAAGCTGTTTAAAACAAACAAGCAAACAAAACCCTCTCCGAAGCCCCGAATCTAACAGCTTCCCACCTTTTCAATATAAAATGCATCCTCGCCATAGAATGTTTATAACTTGATAATTAAATGTGAGAGGTATAACAGACATAAACTGGGACAGAATACTACTTTCCCCCTGCTTTACTTAGGTTTTTTGCAATGACAACACACTTCTTAAAACTATCTAGAATTTACTCAGTTCTTTCAGATTGTCCCTCTGTCTGTCCACTGTGTAAGTAGAATAGCCTGGACAAACCTACATGAACTTATTTGATTTGTGTACATTCACAGATGGATCCAAAGTTGCGTCCTTCATTTGCTGATATTGTCAAAACACTGGAGGGTATTTTAAACCGCCTGAGAAACGAAGACTCAGAGAGAGAGAGAAAGTTTTTGAACCTTGACAGCAGTGAAAGAAAACCCAAAGGTAAGTGTCTGTATTGTACAAACATTGCTGCAGGCTAACAGTGAGAGGGTGCACATATTTTGAAGACTGGGATTTCAGCTATATATGGTATTATTTACAGCTTGTGAATGATTTTACTCCAAGCCTGAAAATGATTCTGGAACAATGCTATATATTTTGCACTGCAGAGTGTCCTTTGGGAAAGAACAGCTAACTGTTTCTTAAAGAGCCTTGAAAGATTCTGCCTACAAGCTCTTGAGGGGAAATGTAGAGTTCATTTGGAAATGGTTTTCTAAGTTGCTAACAGCATATGAAAATCCATCAACTTTTGCTTTGTCCCTGCCATACTTAGTGCATATACATAATTTCTTTGGTGCATGTTACATGCAACACTTAGAAGCTTCTTAAATTCCTTCAGGGAGGAGAACAGAGAAGATGCAAGAGTATACTCTGAAAGACTGGGGAAAAGATGAATCCCAGATCTGCTTGGGAATGCCGGCCCTTGAAGGGCTTTCTCTAAAGCTGTCTAGTGCCACCTGGTGTGGGGAGCAAACTGCAAGGAGTTCTCGTAGGCTGGGGCATATTCCAACTTAGATGTCTTCTGTGTTAGTAGACTTCAGACACTGGAAGCTTAAAAAGTAAAAATAATTTCTTATATTGTGTATATATAAATACACATATAAATACAATATCCATCGATCTGTAATATGGTTATAGATTGAAATAAGTTCTGGATTGCAAACCACATGGAGGACATGCATGTGGTAGTTTTCAAACACCTGAAAAACACCTAAAAGAAGTGTAAGCTAAAAAGGAAAACATTTGTTTGGTTGGATGGCGGTTTTTTTGGGTTTTTTTCCCCCCTCGCCCTCAGCATTCTCCATTTAGAGTACATGTCAGATCTGCATCTTCTTGGAGAAGTGTTACATGCTGTTCTTTGACTTGAGTAGTCTTTCCTAGGTGGAGTGACTACAGTCTAAACTGTAGCAGTATTTAAAGGGAAAAGTGGAAATCCGTGTGTGCTTATTCTGGAAATGGCAATCAAAAGGAGATCACTTATATCTGTTATTACTCTACCACAGCTCCTCAGAGGCACCTTGAGAGCCAGTGGCAGATGCATGTTCCAGACACTCAAGGAGTTAGCATCTTTTCCTAAAATAACAACAGTATTCCCATCCTGTTCTAGTGATAAAGCTTTTATTTATATATATGTATGTGTGTGCATGTGTGAAAATAAATACACAGACATACGCATACATACAAATTTTTAACTCCTATTCATTAGAGTCAAACTCTCATATATCCCTAGTTGTCTGTATTGGATAATGCACTCAATGAAGGTTGGGGTGGAATGATCTAAACTCCTCATTGTATCAGGACGGGCATTATTTTGGTCTTAAGACCTTTCCATCAGGGTGAAAAAAGTCCCAGTTCCTTTGGCAACTATGTTTCACATTTGCTCTCTTTTATGGTCAGTATCATCAAGAGATCTTGGGCAATCTCTGCTGGAAGCCAGGATGATAGAACTAGAAACATGCAAATTTTTATTCTTCAAGACCACCCTGTGCCATCTCTCCTGTGTCAACGTACTGGAAGCAAGGAGGTTTGAAGGGGCCCTAAAGTGTACAGGGTTTGGATAGAAGAGGGAATCTTCTTCATTCCTACCAATTTTTTGTAGTTGCCTTTCCTTTGTTTTTTTCTGAAGAAAATATTATCTTGCTAAATTAGCATCCTTCATAATGTGGGTAGCAAATTTTATCATAAAATGATAAAGAAGCAGTCCAGTTTCACTGTCTAGGGAAGTAAGATGGCATTAACTGAATGTGCATTTCCTTAAGTCTTCAAGATTATTTTTAATTAGCCAGAGGCTTGAGTAAAGAGGAGAGAATATTTTAAATGCAATTTTGACTGCCTTACATTTAAAAGGTCCTATGGAGACATTCAAAACCCACCTGGACGCCTTCCTGTGTGATCTTGTTTAGGTGTTCCTGCTCCGGCAGGGGGACTGGACTAGATGATCTTTGGGGACTGGAAGGGACCTCAAACATTCTGTGATTCTGTGTGATTTTGTGTGTGACGTGGCTGACATATCTCCATGTTTGAAACCAATAATACACTGAGGAGAAGGAAATGGTGTCCTTGTGTTTGTGCAGGAATTTGTAAGGAATGAGCGAATGTGTGCGTATGGAAGATACTTTGGAACACCAGAAATGCAGCTTTTTCTTCACAGTTGTCATGAAGGCTCTGTGAGTGAGCAGACATGCAGGCATACAGCTCCTTTAAGCTAAGAGTATTTCTTTTCTTCTACTCAGGGTCAATTGAAAAAGGACCAGGAGTAAAACGTTTGAGTTCCCTGGATGACAGGATCCCACCCAAGTCACCCCGTCCACGTCGGAATATCTGGTTGTCACGCAGCCAGTCGGATATCTTCTCCCGCAAGCCTTCCAGGAAGATAAATGTGCAGGACCCCTACTACACGCCAAACAAAGGGTTAGGCCGGAAAGTTAATCCCTTCAGTGCCCGGGAGGACCTCAAGGGGGGGAAGATCAAATTCTTTGATATGCCAAGCAAGTCTGTGATCTCCCTTGTGTTTGACTTGCATTCTCCAGAGGCAGGTGGAGGCCTGAAAGCCAGCCAGTCCCAGATCCGGCAGGCATACAGCACAGACTGGCAGGAATTTTCCCTTCTTCCTGGGAGGAGATGCAGATCACTTCCGCTCTCTCCTGAGCTGCCGCACAAGGAATATGGCCTGTGTGGGGGACTGTCTTCCACTGTCGGCAGGTGTGACCCAGCCCAGCTAGGTGCAGAGGTTCGTCAAAAACTCCTGAGTAGCAGTAAATACGGTGTATCAGAGATTCCCCCCTTTCAAGCCAAGCCTCACAGGCTTGTACCAGGACAAGAAGAGGATATGGACTGTTCGGATGGGCCAGTGGCCCAGGAGGAAAATGGGTTTTGCCCTGTTGAGAACACGTGTGGAGATGCAGCATGTAATCAACCATTAGTGCTGGCCCAGCTGCTATCTTACAAAAAGCTCCCAGTTGAGAATTCTGTGAACTCTGAGGGACATGGCTCATCACAAGTGTTTGTGGGTTGTCTCCCTTCTGAAGAGATGGAGGTGGAAGATGACCTACTGAAAAATACTCCACTAGAGTCTACAAAGCCTCTGTTCAATGTTAGTCCTTCCACTGAGCTGAAGAGAGAGGCATGGCCCTTCAGGGAGCAGGATGGGGACAGTCCTGCCCCATTGTCTCAGACTTCCTCCAGCAGCTCAGCAAGTGGCAGCGCACAGTCAACCTGTGACATATAAAGAGAGGGCTCAAACTGAATGTGTCCTTGAGGGAGCAGCTGTTCCCAGGCGCTTAAACTCTGTTTTTCTGTAGTGCTGGGCTTCATATTTGAAAGAGACTCAGCAGATGGTAGGAGCTGGCTGTCAAACAGATACCTGCAGACAGTCTGGAGAGACTGATTATTTTAACTTTATTTCAAACTGTGCTTATTCCCTTCCTTGATTTGCATTAGGAGGGGGAACTACTCCAGCCAGCATGGCCATGTGGGCCACACAGTCCTTCCAAGAGGCAGCAGCCAGAGCAGGCACCGTGTAGATAGTTTGACCTGGATTCCAGCATGGAGCATTTCAGGGCCTTAAGCTCCATGTTGGGTAGAAAGAGCGACCCTTAGGTTTTCCCTCTTCTCTGACTGACCAGCTGCTCTAAACCACTGCAGATTTTGCATTAACATTCTGCAGCAGTGCATGTGAGTCAGAGCCTCTGTTTTAGAAATGGGCACAGAGATCTTTCAGAGCTATGTTGAGCAGACAGGAATGTTCTCTGGTCCCAGAGCTGCTGTGAATGCTGTTGCAGCATCAAACAAGCTCTTCTTTCAAAAGCAGCAAAAACAAAACCCCTCACGCTGGTTGCAATCTGCAGGCTGAATCACATGACAAGTACTTTACGATTAACAAGAAGAATCTGTTCCCTGGTGTTTCATTTTCCCTTGGGATTGGGTAATGATGTGTAATACATTCGTGCAGGGAAGCAAGATGCGGTGAGCACCGCTCTTGTCCTTGCACAGCTCTTCATGTACTGCAGCCCAAATGTGGAGGAAGATTTCCCCAGCACACAAGGGGAGCCATATCCCATGCATTGTCATTCCTGGGTTTCTAGAGAAACTGCCAGTGAAAGGATCAGTTGTACTGAGCTTTTGGGGGGTGTGGGCTCTGACCTCTGAAGAGCTGAATGGACATCATGATCCGTTTCTGCAGAGTAGTTAATTAAATTCAATATCTAGATTACTGTGGACTATTACCACTGAGGTGCAAGGGTCACATTCACCTCCCTCTCTGGTATGATGTCCCATCTCATTGATAACACTGCAGTAATGATGGCTCCTTATTTAAACCCAGACTGCTTGATAGAGGACAGGAATCCCCTGCCCAGGGGAAGTTGCCAGCAGTGTTGCAGCCACACAAGTGCTCTTGCTTGGAGGAGGATAGACAGTAGACTCACAGGAAGGCTTTGAATTGTCAAACTGAATAAAATTAGCTTGTCCCAAATTAACTTCTTTTTTCTTCTACAGAAAGAAGCTGTTGTCTCCTCTTGTTCTCTCTCTTTTTTTTTTCTTTTCTTTTTTTTTTTTTTTAATTTTTTAAAATCTCTCCACCAGCAGGTACATGTGAAAGAAGCAGCAGCATAAGCTTTAACACTACTTGCTGGAACCAGCATCAAAGATCCCTGCTCTGGGATGTGATTTACAGGAAAGCTTTTTCTGTGACTACATTTGCAGCATCCTGCCCTTTTCCACTATTGCTATCCCAAGAACATGGGTTTTGTTTGTTTTTTTTTAATTTTATTTTTAACCTATATTATCATTCCTAACTGAGGTATGCGTTGCGTGCCTGCTGAGCAGATGGTGATGCAGTGGAGACCAGAATTTCACCCAGGTAGCCTCTTACACTCTCTCTGGCTCTTGTGTAAGGATGGAAAATGTAAGCTAGTCTCAGGTGGAAGCAAGACTATTCCTACTCTCTTCATATCTCAAAGAAAGGATGAAGGGGAAAGCTTTAGTTCTTTCTTGGCTGAGATGTTTATCTTTCCAGAGGTGTAGGTAACTGTTCTGTGAGTTATGGTTACGACTTCCTCTTGAGAGATATGTATTAACCTGAGCAGCAGTTATCCCTTTGCAGTGGCTGTGAAGAATTAAATGAGAAACCCAGTGTCGCTGAGTTACTTAGCACAGTCCATGCCAGATTAGGCAGCTGTTGGCAGTTTGGAAGAGAACGTGCCTGTCCTTACTAAGATCACCCCTTTTGGCCCTCACCTCTCTGCCTCTCGAAGGTGCTGATCTGTAGAGCAGTCTGTCTTGTGTATCCTGTCTGCAGGGCTGGTGTCTGCAGAGTGCAGAGCAGCTTGTATGGCTGGTGCTGTGTGCATGTAATTTCCTTTGAGGACAGGGAAACAGCAGAACTCAGTTGCCAGCTCGTTCTCTGCCTGGTGCCTGCTTTTTTTTTTTTTCCTTTTCTCTTTTTATCTTTTATAGAGTTGCACTCTCTTGCAGAGGAAACCATCAGCACCAGCTTCTGTTGTCACAAGATGCATTTAGGTGTGTGACTTCAGACAAACAAGCAATAATAAGGAATGGTTTCCTTCTGGATCACCAGGCTGTCAGGAAGCTGTCCAGCATCCTACAGCTGCCTGCAGCCTCATCGCAGAGCACACGTACAGCTCCAGCTGCTCTGCAGGCTGTGTTCGCCCTGGCTATCAGTGCTGACACCATCGTGAAGCCTGTTGCCCTCTCTGATGCTGACTGCAAAGCCTGTGCAGTCAGGCTCGGGGTCCCTCCGTGGCACCCCTCACAGTGACCTCATCTGTTTTCTTAACACCACTGTCTCTTAAAATGTTTCCCTGCCCTGAACAGCTCTCTTAGCAAGCAGCATGGCTAAAATTTTATTCTCTTAAATGTCCACTCTAAGCACAGCCAGCTGACATGCACAGGGCACATTTATCTACTCTTCTAGCTCTTTGTACTGAGGTGGAGATGTCAGAAAGAGAAATGCCAGTAACAGCTTAGGCCTTTCCTGGATTCTTGGTCTGCATGGGGAAGGAGGCATGTGTATGAAACTGGAGTAAAAGGCCATTTAGAACAGCCAAGTGCTTGCTAAAACCCAGTGTTTCCAAGGGTCTGGATGCAGCTGGCGCTCACTACGTCTCATCCCTTTGGTTGTGTGAAGCTGAATCTAGGTTGCACCTAGCAACTACTCCTAGGTTTTCTGCCCACCTAAGGGTGCTTTTCTACTGGGGGCCATTTTCTGACAGCTACTGATGAACGTGAATACAAACATATAGTCACCAAACTCCTTGTTTTATAGTGATGTGACAAAAGGTTTATTGTGATTGGATTTTATAATGATTTTTGACTTTCTTACGGGAGCAGTTCTTGCTCTTTTAAAACTTTCTACACATTGCTAGGTCCCCTAAAGAGATCAAAGATGGTTTTAATTAACTTTAAATCTTTCTGTGTTGAATTCATTTAAATGTCTGTTATAAGCTATTTTTGTTGTGGTTGCAGGTTGTTAAATGCAACTAAGAGAACGCATGTGAATTGCTGGCCCTCAGAAGCGGTGCAGACAAGGGGCTGTAGTAGACTTGTTGGAGAGGTGTTGATGTATTATGTGTAACAGAACATTGGTATTTTTTGCCAGTACAACTAAAGACACTTGAATAATTCCTGTTTGCACTTAATGCTATTGTTTATATTGCATGTCACTACATTTCTATGCAAAATGAATAACCTTTTTTTTGGGAGGACGGGCAGCCAGATATTTGATTAAGTATAAAGATCTTTGCGAGATGATCTATTTTCGTATTTATGAAGGAGTTTTACGTCTTAATATTTTGCAGTCTGTAAATAGCTCAACTTGTAATTAAAATCTTAGGAAGAAGTTTGTAGCCTGTGTATAATAGTAAGTTAACACTGCCAGAAAAAAAAATCTTTGCAAAACAACTTTTCTAATATTGTGGATATTTATGAATATGTAAAGAAAGCACGTCTTGTTTTTATGTTGATTGACCTTCCGACTTTTTTTGAACTCTAGAAATGGTGTATGTTTTATTGGAACTGCAATAAGAAGTAACCAAAGATGAATCCAGTTAAATATTTTCATAATTTTTTTCTTGGTCAGGTTTTGTAAACTTTCCCAACTTGCTTTCAAAATAAAAATAAAATCAAGGCCTGAGTCTTGTGATTAAGAGGGCAATTCTAGGTTAAAAAGCTGGCTCAAATGCTTACTGAAGCTACCCATGACATTAATACCTGGCTTGAGATCCTATTCACTATTACTCGGTGCTGAATTATAAATGGGGAGAACTGTCACCCTCAGTCAGTGTTACTTCTGTCCTGCACCTTACTGAAGTGTTACACTATTGAATCCATGAGATTCAAGGATGTTTTCTGCTTTGCCTTACAGCTCTGAAGAGTAAACAGTACCTTGTGACCTACAAGACAAGATGGCTGTTGATAGCGCTCAGCCTGCAGGGAGCGTTGCCACTGTGGCTGCTCTGTTCTAGCCCTACAGAACAGCTCCTCTAGCACAGGAAGCTGTGCAGTTTGAGGACCACATCTGGCTTTAAGTCCCACTGCATCTCTCCTTACTTAGAAGTCTGAAGACCTGCTGTAACTTGGTTCTGTGTGCAGTTACCCTGCACTAGAATCAGCTGGCCCATTTGGGAAGTTTTCTCCTTCCTCTCTCTCCTGTAGGAGCAAAGGTCTTGTCTATGAATGTTGTAACCAAGGTTAAGGTAAAGTACACATATGAAGTGGGATAGCTCTCCCAGCTGCATGTTGTAAACCATGGTCACTGTCTTTTTTTTTTTAAATACAACTTTTTTCCTTTTTTTACTTCCTTAGAAAGACAGGAAATAATTATGAAGGTTATAGGGGAAATTACCCTACCAGCAGTGACTGAAAGCAGTAACATTTGACCAGATATTCATAAAAATGTATGCCTTGCCTGAAGGGCTAACCTGCTTTCATCTGGTGTCTGGCAGAAGCATCACATCTTCCTCCAGTGACTGTTTATAGCATTTTCTATCAAGTCAGTTGTATGGGTCAACAGCTTGGAGCTTCCATATGTGTTTTTGTAGGCAGACTTTGACCTTGAGCACATGCTCCTTTTGAAAAGGTCTGTCCTACCCTGAACTCCTCGGTTAAGTACCAGCATGCAGTACGGCTGTAGGTGCAGAAAGGATAAAGCGAGATCTGGGAGGAGGCTGGGGCTCTAACATGCTAAGAAGTGGGAAGGCCTCTGTCTCC